TCTAGAGCTAGAAAGTGTGTTTTTCTAGGTTACCTTGAGGGTGTCAATGATTACAAGTTGTGGGATAGGAGCCAAAAAAGGATTAAGATCATTGTGAGTAGAGATGTCACATTCAATAAGAGTGAAATGCCGTGCCTTAAAACTGAATCCGAACCTGTGAGTGAAGAAGAACAAGGTGAAGAGAGAAATCAGTTGAAGGTGGAGTTAGGAAAACTTAGCACATCCGTCCCTGTTATACAGAGTGAGGTAGAGACTTAGGTCAACAATCTGATATGGAAAATAGAGATGAAGTATTGATAGAAAAACATCCTAAAGAAGAGAATCATTTAGTAGGTTATAATTTAGCTAGGGATAGAGAGAGAAGACAGTCCATATCACTTATAAGATTTGGATATGAGTTTGAGTTAGCCTTTGCTCATGCGAGCTATGAGGAGTTAGCTAATACAATCCAATAACCTTTGAGGAGACTATGAAAAGTGAACAATTTGAAGAGTGGTTTAAGACAATGAAGGTTGAGATGAGTTCTTTAGAAAATAATCAAAATTGGGAGCTAGTACCTAGACCTAAGAATAAATCGACTGTTGATTGTAAGTGGGTTATAACGAGATTTTTTCACATGTTAAGTATACCATTATTAGAGTCATACGTGCATTAGTTACACATTTTGATTGTGATCTTGAACAACTTGATGTAAACAACTGCTTTTTTACATAGTGAGCTTGATGTACAAATCTTTATGAATCAACCAAAATATTTTAAAGATAAACTAAAACATGATCATGTGTGCTTGTTGAAAAGATCTTTATATGGTCTAAAACAATCACCTAGACAGTAGTATAAAATATTTGACTCTTTTGTATTATCCATAGAGTTTCAACGGAATAAGTTTACTCATTGCTTATATTTCCAACATAATGATGCTAATGATGATTGAATTCTTATTGCTATATGTAGATGATATTCTCTTAGTTGGTTCATCACCTAATTTGATAAGTAATATAAAAAACAAATTTGAATGGTGAATTTGACATGAAAGATCTAGGAAAGGCTAAAAGAATCCTAAGTATGGAAATTGAAAGGGATATGTTTGTTTTGTTTTTACATCAGTCCTCTTATGTTTCAAAGGTGTTGAAAAAATTTGGCATGCATGATTGCAAACCTGTTACATTACCTTTAGCTAATCATTTTGCATTATCCAAAGATCAGGCTCCCTGTAATGAAAAGAAATAGAATACATGAGTAGAATCGCATACTCAAATGTGATTGGTTTTGTTATGTATTTGAAGGTCTGTACTAGACTAGATTTAACTTTTGCTGTTAGCTTTCTTAGTAAATACATGTCTAATCCTGGTCCTGAACATTGGGAAGCCTTGAAATAGATGTTAAGGTACTTAAAAGGGAACTAGTGATATAGGTCTAAAGTTTGGTGTTAATAAGGAGGGTGTGAAATTGAAGGGTTTTGTGAAAGCTGACTATGTTGAGAATAGAGATAATAGAAAATCTACTTCTTCTTATGTGTTTACTTTGTCTAACTCTTGTGTTAGTTAGAAATCACAAGTACAACACATAGTTGCACTATCCACGGCAGAATCTGAATACATTGCTACCACTGAAGATATTAAAGAAGCTTTATGGTTTAGAGGCCTACTTCATGAACTTTGTGTTTTAAATGATTATTTGGTAGTATATTCTAATAGTTAATCTTCTATACATTTATGCAAAAATCTTGTTCTTCACGAATGCCCTAAACACATTGATGTTAGACTATTTTTTTCATTAGAGATATTATGTTACAAGAAGTTGTAAGAGTTGAAAAAATATATACAAAATATAATCTCTCAGATATGGGCACTAAGGTGCTATCAGTGGTGAAGTTTAGAACTTGCAAATATCTTCTAAACATGGGTGGAGGAAAATAATTTCCAAATTTACCGGCTCTCATTTTCTGAATTATTACCAACGTGTAATAATTTTTCTTTGCAGGTCCTTTGACACCAAGGTGGAGGTTTGTTTGGCAAATTGTTGTCAAACGACCTCCCAGACGATGATATTAAATCATTATTTATTTAGTCGGCATCGATCAATGACTGAAGTGAAACATTGACACCATAATTGTAACGATCTAAACTTATTTGGACCATTTGAAGTAGCCTAATTTAATTAGAGTTACTCATGACCCGACCCATAATTCCTAGATGACTTTTGGTTGATAGCCCATTTATTCATTACCTATTAACTCTTGGGCCAAGCTATTGTTTAACCTAAAGCCCACCTGTTCTTTATATAAGCCGGCTCTCGCCCTTTTTTTGTGTTGGAAGTGCGAAAAACATTATTGTTGTCTTTTTCCTTTTGAGAGTTACTGGCCGTGTCCTTTGCTTTGTGCTTCCTGTGCAGTGCGTTCGTATCTCTCTTTTCTCTTTGCCTTTTGTGGCTATTGTGCGGCTGCAATAACTCTTACATGTATTCTTAGTGGGCAAGCCAAGAAAGCAACCGGTTGGGCATGAGTTTATGGTTTTGAGTTTTGACATTGTGGTGTTGATTTCGATATATATGCGATATACTGAGCCTGAAATCCTTTGGTGATCGATTATTTTTTTCAACAGCCTTAACTTGAGTTCCCAATTCTTATTGCTCATTGAACCAACAACCTGAACAGCATGAATAAACAATCTGGAACTTCTACAAGTCTGCATCTCATCAACCATTTTAATAAATCTTTTCATATTTTTTGGACTATACGTTAGAAACCTTGGAAATTTATAAATATTCTTTATGATTTGCTCCATGCCTACACCATAACTCTTAAATATTCAATATTGGGCACCACACACTTCTCCAAATTGTGACTCAAGTACCAACCAAAAATCTTTAAAATCTTAGTTACCTCTGCATTAGATCCCAATAATCTTTTCAACACCGATAATGACGGTCTAACCTATTGTCTGCACTGCTATGCAAATTTGCTGGATCGTTTGAGATAATCTCAACAATGTCTTTGACAGAAAATCCCAAATCTTGGAAAATCTTGCATTTGGGCTTGATAGTTTTTTCAAGACTTGCAGCATGCAAAGCTGGCTTAGTTTTCACAACTCTCTCCAACTGACTCTTTGAAAAACCACTCTCCTTAAGGAATGATAATATTGAATCAGATTTTTTCGGATTCTTTATACGGGTTAAGACAGGGGCAACTTGTGAAGCTGTTTCAGGAGAAAATTGGTGTTTGTGTAGTAGGAAATCATACGCTGTAAGATAATTTTTCGCTTTCCTTTTGGTCGAGGAAGAGGAAAAAAAGAGAGAAAATGAGAAAGAAAAATGGGATACGTAAAGAAATGAAGGGTTACTTTTGCATAAATACATAGCCATTATCTTGGAGTGTTGTTGATTACGTCTATAAATCATGAGTAATGATATTCATCCTCACTGGGGTTGAACACCAGTTTATGTGACAATTAATGACATTAAATGATAGATTTATTTAAATACAAAGTCACATGACTCATTTAATTGAGTCTATCATTTAGTGAAATGTAATTGCCACATAAACTGTGGATCAACCCAATGAGGATGAATATCATTATTCATAAAGAATAATGCTACTTGCAGTCGTTCACTGTAGCAGTCGTCCTATGTGGCACACACATGTCAAATGTGTATTTAATGCATTAAATGAGGTAAAAAGCTACCACATTAATGTATCAAATAACTACATGCAATGTGTGTGCCACATAAAGTGACTGCTGCAGTGAGCGACTGCAAGT